TATTTATGTATGAATTTTAAAAATTATCATCATAAGTTACCAAATGATATTATCATGTAATTTTTATATAAATTTGAGGTAGGGTATCTATGTTCTTCATTGATTAGATTAACAGGATAATTAGTAATATTTGTTGGAACTGTCCATTGGAAAGGAGATTTTGTTACATCCAATATTGCTATTTTGTCTGATTTTGAAGTACCACCATACACAATTATCCTTCCATCAGGTGCTAAATATGTGTATATATAAATTAAAAAATATTTAATTAAATAATATAATTAATAATAAAACTAATTACCTAATACTGAAGAATGACCCCAACGCGGAGAAGGTATATCACCAATTGTTGTCTAATATAACAAAATATTTATTAATATCTTTTTAGTTGAAAATATTATTACTGATGATTATATAACTTACAATATTAGACCATGAATTTTGATTAATATTATATAAATATACCTAAATGTAATGTATATTGTTAGAAAATATAATATTTCATTTTAATTAAATAATAAAAAGTCAAATTATAGTATTACATTAGTCATATCAAGTCCAAGATAAATTATATTCTCATCATTCAACATATAAAGATTATAATAATTAATGCTTATTATAGATAGACCACTGTTACTTGGTGTTAAGGTTGTAAATATCAAATTTTTGGAGTTGAATTTATATATATTTGTATCAATGTACTGTACTATATATGTATTTCCATAATTATCATGCACATACTTTGATAATTCAACATTATTTAGCTGTAATTGTCCATCAAGAGTCTCTGGAGTCCATGTATCAAATGAACTTGTGTTAATTGAATAAACCAGGGTTGGCAAATTGACTGGTACATTGAGAACAGATGGATTTTGGACTGGTCCATTGCCATTAATAAAATACTAAATATGGTTAAAGTGTTAAACTAATGGACTCAATGGACCACCAATAGACCATCAATGGACCGCACATTTGCCAATCCTGGAATAAACTATTGATCCATATTCTATAACATTAGGTGGTGAGTCTCTATATCCAGCTATAATGTAAAGTGTATCATTATTAGCTCCTCCTAATGCTAATGATGCAGATTCTAATGGGGGTATTACTGATTTTGGAACAATTGTTTTTACTGGTAATGTTTGATTGAGTAGAGATGATAAATCCAGATAAATTATTTGGCTTGTACATCCTGAATTTGCAGAATATCCTCCAAAATAATAAAGTTTATCATTTAATACTATTGAACTTTGATGTGATATATCTAATAATTGACCAGATACCAAAAGTAAATTGAAAATTATTATCAATAATTTTAATGTTTTTAAATAGTAGTTATGATTAAAATCATGTATTTTTCCGCAAAAATATCCGCAAATTTGCGCAGCATCGTGAAAATATCCAATTTTATTGGTGAGTTGGGTGCGTGTTATCCTTATTTAGAAATTGATTTGGCGATTGCGGATATTTTTGCGGAAAAATACATGATTATGTTATTATTATGATTTATTAAACTATCCATTTTTTTTTTTAAAAATAAAGATTTCAGCAAAAGAAAATAAACTTGCTTTTATCATATTTCCTTCAAAATGAATATTCTAAAAAAAGACTTTCTTATACTGTGTGAATCTAAACTTGACAATTACAAGAAAAAATTACTTATGAACAAAATAGCCCCTAGATATCATAGTGAACAGCCATGTCCGTCCGTACACGAAAAAAAGATGCAAAATATTTGCCCATTACACGAAACCCATAGTGTACAAGCAAACAGGAGGGAACGTACTGGGAACACAAAATTAACAGGAGGGAACACAAAAATTTAACCCATGCAATTTTGTGATTG